GGAACAGCAGGCCGAGGTGCAACTCTTCCCACCAAGTTGTAAGTTGGACTACATTCCGAGACCCCCCTCAAGTACCCTAATTTCAGATTTCTGATTTGCAGGATAGAAAGGTTTTTGTTTTGGGAAATTTGTGGATGAAATTAATTGCATGTAAAGATTAAAACTTAGATCAACAGTGCATTTCTGTTTAACCCTTTTTCACCCTTGGTTGTCTCCTCAGCCAGCTCCATCCATGTCTGTCTTTTTAGCACAAAGTGACACTTTCACTATCAGATAAATAGTACTCCAGCAAATACCCCTCAACATCTGGCAAGCAGATGCATTTCCAGGTTGAGTGATGTAACGAGTACATAGAAAAAGGCAGTTAATATTTTCCAGAAGGACCACCTCTCTGTAAACAGTGTTTCAGAAATCCAGTCTCTGTGGCAGCTGCTCCCCTTTCCTGGTCTGAGTGACTTCTTTTGCAATTTATTTTAGATGGCAGAAGGCATCTCACGAAATGGCATTAATTCCTAGCTAATGGATATCCTTCTGTTGCAGAAAAGTTTTCCTTTAGACTGAGCTAAATCAGTCAATGAAACTGATAACTGTAATTACCTCATCTATTTATCACTGGTTTGATGTGTCTGTCTTGGCAGTGGAGCAAAAATCACTTCCTGGGATTCCTTGCTTCCATCCATACTTAAGATGACATTAAAAAGATTCTAAGTAATGATTAGTGTCTCCGATGTCAAAAACTCCAATTAGCATCCCGGAAACCCTGCAAGGATTCTGCACTTCTGCAAGGACCATTGCAGTGTGCATTAAAGTAACCACAGAGAAGTGAGTGAATAGAATATTCTGTAAAACTGTTAGGGACTACAGAAACAACAAAGCATCCTTTGCTATGTTTTACCAAAGGCCAACAAGAGGCCAACAGCACTGCTACATTCAGTCATGTTCAGACCTTCCTTCGTTTTCATCTTATTCTTTTCACCTTATTCCAAAGTTAGGAAATTAATTCACTGTACCTGTTCCAAACTTAGGATACATGCCTGACACACAGGCAGGTGATCGAGCCCTCCTCTCGCTGGAGGAACAGAGTATTCACCCATCTCTGCAAGGGCTACATGTGCTTCCCAAGTTCTGGTAGCCAAAGGAGACAAGAAAGCATGTAACACTTGTCTTGCTTGCTGGGGCAATTGATTCTGAGGATTAATACAAACAACGGCAAATACCTCAAGGAAAATTTAAATATGTGAAAATTAAGTAAAGAAGTGAAAAAGACTTGTTCAAATCATAGAGTGTTTTCCTGCCTCTTCAGGACTGCTTCCTACAATGCGATTGTAAGAGACAATTAAAATTACTAATAGATCCAGTTTACCAGTTTGTAACTAACAACATATTGGATCCATTTCACTTTTCTTCCTGCTTAATGTGTCCATCAGCAAAAGAACAATCGCCTTTAGGTGCTTAATGTTGTAGTGAGTGTTAGGTCTATGCTATGAATGATTCAGGGTGACCTCTCAATACCTGAATGACATGGGTTTGATGTGATTAACATTGCTTTTGCTGTGTGGAAAAATGACCGTGTAATCATACCACATATCCTCTCTGACATGGTAAATCCTATTCACTCAGTAGGAACAAGCTATCAAGTAACTGTAGATAAAAACTATGGTTTCTAAGACAGAAAAGCAAGATTCTCTTGCCCAGGTGCATCACGTATGTCTGCCCATCAGACAAACAAATTTATTATTTCCATATGCCCTGTGTCCTACTATTTGTGCCTTGAAAAATTCCTTTATAATCAGGAATCCCTCCATTCTTGCTGGAGTCGAAGTAAATAGCGTCTACAAAAATCATTAAGGAGCACACTTTAAATAAATCTCTGTTGAGCCTGAGTCCCTAAGACACTTGCAAAGGAGACTTGTATGCATTTTTTCAGTTGTTCACTGCTGATATTGAGCATCGCACTTGAAGAAAGTGATAAAAAGATTTCTTCATGACTAAGCCTGAATGCTATAAGATGGATTTGCAATTAGTGCTTGAACTACTTTTTACAGCAGTGACCTGATTGAAACATTAAAAGGCCAAACGTTCATGGCTTTGAGCCCCACAGGTCTATTATATTTCCTTCTGTGCCTAGTTCTTTACTTCATCAGAGTCATCAGAGGTATCAGGCACTTACATATAATCATAGAATCATAGAATCATAGAATGGTTTGGGTTGGAAGAGACCTCAAAGATCGTCCAGTTCCAACCCCCCTGCCATGGGCAGGGACACCTTCCCCTAGACCAGGTTGCTCAAAGCCTCATCCAACCTGGCCTTGTACTTTTTGGAAGCAGCCTGTGTAAGAAACTTTCAAGAAACGTATTTTTTTTTCAAGTTTATATCCTTGCTGTGCATTAATCAGCAATTTTTCAAGCTTACTCCTAGCATATAAAAATGTATCCTCCCTTACAAAAGTCTTTAATCTAGAAGAACATGCAAAAACAATCATGGAGAAAAACAGTTGAAAGATCTTATCTTACCCCGATCTGCATTAAGAGATGAACAGCAATGACTGCAGGTGCAACACCTGAAACAATCTATCATTCATGTGTAATTGTCTCTGTTTCAAGTTGATTAAAGTCCTTTGAACTAATCTAGCAATGTGGCATGGGGAATCCAGTGCAGTAAAGCCAGAAATGCCAAGCGTATTAACGGTAAGAATTTTCTCCCCAGACTTCTCCATTTCCGTATAATGACGATTCAGAACAGAGAAATCTGGGAAAAGCAGATGCACTGGGAGAAAGTGGTTCACAGAGCCTGACTATTTTTCTTCTCAGAGTATCAGTACTTGAAATGAATATGTACCTAGGCATTGAGAGCTGTGCAGGTGAGGTCTTCTACAGTACAAACATGTATAAAGATGATGATCCCTGTCCCCACTTCGCAGATTAAGAATCCTTACTTATTCTTTCCTTGTCATTTATCAGCTGAATGAGAGCAAAGATGATTTTTAAGGCTGCAGATGCCACACAGAAGTTTGAAATGCAGAATGATGTTTCTTTTTACTATGCTTCAGCTCGTGAAGCAAATTTTGAATTAGAAAGTAAGAGATTATTCACACTGGGGAAAATGACGCACACTAACCTGGCATTTTTCAGTGGAGGATGGTCAGCAACAGGTTAGTCGAACAATGTCTACAACAGTGCAGCTTCTCAATAGGGTCAGGTGGCAGAGAGCTCGTCTGGTGTACTCACTCAGGGTCAAATACCAAGCCAAGTCCTAGTTTATCAGTTGTTGCAGAAGCTGGGATGTGGGAATAGAAAGCAGAAGGGTGTGGGAAAACAAGGGACTACAAACTGTCCCTGCCCCTGTCAGGTTCCTTTGTCATTTCTAGATGAGTTACCTGTATGTCCTGTGTTTGGCTGATGGTTTCTTATTTTGGGGCACCTGGTGGGAGACATCTGGGTTATAGATTTAGAGAAGCACCAAGCATTCAGCACAGCAAATGAAGTCTGCTGGAGCAGTTAGTTAGAATATAAAGTGCTCTGAACAAATGTCGGGGCCAACAGAGTGTGCAAAAAGGTGTAGCGAATCATAATAAAAAGTTCCTGGTTCCCTCACTTTGAATGCACACTGTGATGATAATCATGTTTGCAAACCATTCAGAGGCTGCAGCAAAGCTACCCCAGAAAACCTCACCAAGCAGCTGGCAGCTCTGAATTCAGTGCACTGTCTGGGTTGTACAGCAATAAACAGGGCTCATCGTCACACGCTTAGTCCAGGAAATGTAGAGACCGGCTTCATTCCCAGACGCTGTCCTGCTTTTACACTAAGTGAGGCGCTAGTCCCATGGGAAAAATAGTATGCAGTCAAATGATTAAATCATGTCACATAATACACGTTGCATGGGGGAAGGGGAGAGGGGGCTGAACTACGCTTCCAAAAGCAGCATTAGGTCTGGATTTGTCCAGCCTCTGAGAGTTTAACTTTGTAAACCTAATGGTGTTCTTTCAACATTTTTTATGATGCAATTTTGTCTTCCTCATTGTTTTGTTAATTTTTGTTCTCTCTCTCTCTCTCTGACTCACTTGCTGCATTCAGCACGTACCTTCGGTGAGTCAGGAGAGAGGGCCAGCCAGGGGAGGACCTCAGTGAGGGTGAACAACCCTCTGGACAGAGACACGAGGCAGAAAGAAAAGGACGGGGAAATTGGCCCGTTGAGCAGTGATATGAAAAGCACCAGCTGTAGCCCAGCCTAAGGAGAAAGAGGGAAAAATGCTTTTTCAGGGGAAGAGGGGAGGCGAGAGCCAAAGCACAGCCATGGGAGGTGAGCATGGAGGGACGGGGAGGTTGGAAAGCCAGTGTCACTGCATGGACATGTCCTCCTGCGACCCTTTTCCCTCGGCTAGCACGGCAGGTAACATTCTCCTGCTCGCTGTATAGAGCAGGGGCATGAGGCTGTTGTGGTACTGGCCTTCATCCCATGAAACACCAGGGCCAGAGAAGCTCTGGTGCAGAAAAGCTCCCCCCATACACACATTTATCCCACACATCAAAGAGAAAGAGCAGCAATAAGGAAAGGGTCCACCCAAGCGTCACGAACGTCTCTGTGTCCAGGCGCAATATTCCCTGCAGACAAATGCTTTCTCCTTGCTCACTGTCCTCCCAACCAGCTCCTCACAGGCACGGCCACACATCCCGTCTCGCTGGGAACCGGCTCCTTTGTTTCCTGCCTGGCTATCACTTAGCGAATCCTTGCGCTCCTGAAGCACCTGAAAGTACAGCACCCCCACCCCAGGGCTATGCCATCAACCCAAAGCACTTCTCAGAAATCAGCTCCCTCCCAAAGGCAGCTCTGGGCTCTCTCCATCACACTCCTCCCCAGGGATGCCCTAATGACATGGTTCGGAACCCCAGCCTGAGCTCCTTATCCCTGGCCTTGCTGACCTTGCTCCCAATCCAGCTGCCGAGCCACAGCTGCAGCAGTCTTCAGCGTTAACTCGCTCGGCTCTTCCTCACCTTTGCTTTAATCGAGGAGCCCGGCTGGCACTGCCAGGATAGGCAGATCTGCTTCCACAGCGCTGGCTCCCACCTGGTCCCACCTCTCTGCCAGGTTTCCCACAGCATCAAAATTTCCTTTGGCCCGTGAGTTGGTACGGATTGGCACAGAGGCCTGATACACACAGGCACACTTGAGCGTGAGTTTGAACTCACAGGGCGATGTTGGATGGAAAGGGATCACAGGCAGTGAGCTGAGTAGCTTTTTAGGAAAAGGCTGTGGTAGGGAAGCCAGGGAGTGACAGGGAGAAGGTTGTTTCTGAGCAAGAAAGTTGAGGGAAAGCAGAGAAACCCAGGGACAGCTTGAAAAACTATAGTTTGTGGCCAGGCTGGGGGAAGCGGTGAAGGGAAACCTGCAGTACGGCACGCTTCTCCTGGGAGAGGCAGAGGTACAAATGTCTAATTGTCAATATGTGTCAGTATATATAATATGTATATGTTAGTATAATATATTTTTAGATATAACATAAACAGTATATATTTTAGTGTGTTAGTATATACATTATATATAGAGTATATAATACAATTACATATATACAGTGTACATATATAATGTTATTTGGTACCTTGGTAAACAGGCACAATAAAATCGAAATGACCAAGTAATCTAGCAAGCCAGTAATTGGTGTAAAAGGGAAAG